TTCTTGGAGCCTCATTCTCTCAGGGCTAGGCCTATTTTACACTCCCTGACCCCAGGATTCTCTTGCTTCCTGAAGAGGTAGTCTCTATTTTTTATTATCAGCTCAAGCCTCCCACTGCCTATGTTCCCCTATTTTGAAGGTCCAGTGACTAGAATCCTAGTTCCATTTAAGTACTTGACATCAGATTAGCTCTTACAAAAAGACAGCAATTTCAGAGATAGAGTAAGAACAAACAGACAGACTTTACCCCTAATACTTCAGGGGCACAATCTTCAACTCCATCCCCATCCTCACTCCACAATATATGTCCTTGGTTTTTGGGTGGAGGAGTAGGAATTGAGCTCACAACTTGTCTCAGTTGCTACAATAATATTAGTCCCATCAAGTTTAAATCCAAAGCCCAAAGTGGTGGCTTGTGCTGGACTGGAATCTGAGACCCAGTCTCTTCAGGGCTTTGCTGCTAGGCTGGCTATAATACCTGGCCTGGATTCCTGGACTTTCAGATCCCCACGGTCTATGCTCCCAGGTTTGATAGGAGGCTCTACTCATTTTACCGAGAACAAAAAGGTAGCCCTCAAGGCCCTTTCCCCTAACCTGACAGTCTCACTGTAAGTACTAAAGAGAAGGAGTCACTTTTATTGTCAATCAAGAATGTGGCAAAGGCTTTAGTCACTGCTAGGGTTTTTTTTTGTTGGTTTTTTAAGACTTTTAAAAATGGAAAATGACTTCTCCTAACTGCTTTGTAGCCAATGTGAAGAGTCCATGCATAGTCCTGTCTCCCGGATACAGTCCTCTGGCATCTTCTACATGGGTGATGCCATCTTAGGCACTCCAGATATGTGCCACACTCCTCATTACACATGCATTATGTGGTTTGAATTTTGCAACGAGACTGTAAGGTAGGCAATACAGTGATTATAATCCTCGTTTTATATTTAGGGAAATTGAGGCTGAGCAATGTTAAATGACTTGTCCATGGTCATATAACTAACAAAAAAAAGAGGTGATTTTTATGTCTAGGTCCATCACTCTATTCACTAAACTATCTATGTCTATGATGGAAAGTATAACAGCTAGCTTGAATATTGTTATGAACTTGTGGACTGAACCGAAAATTGGTGAATATTATTAAAATGGGACAGAGGGGTTTTTATTTTGTTGGGGGATAGAGGAATATGTTTTGATACTATGAAAAGCCACATGATAGACTTTTTAATCCATAAGGATGTCACATCTGATTTAACCTTGTTTGCCAATGTAATCTATTTTTAAAAAAGAGATGGACTTTGTTACGTTACTAAAGAAAAGCCTTGATATATTTTAACTCTTGCTCAGATTGTACTCTTATTCAATACCAACATAACTAATTAAGCTACTTACAGGTTCTAATCTTTCAGCTGGGCTTACTGAAGTTGAATAGAGACTATTTTTGAATCCTTTTAAAAAAAGCCAGCATTCTATCTCTGAGGCTAGCCTACTCTCCTGGATGAATCACAACCAGCAACATCATAAACAGATAGACTTACAAAGGGTGAAAGTTTAGTTTTAGAGTTGCATCTGATACAATTCTCAGTAAATCCCAATTGCCAGTCATATGCAGATTTCAATATATTTTATAATAGAAAACAGAAATATATGAGGCTTGAGAAGGTCAGGCATTTCACAACAATTTCCACATAAGTAATGACTGCTTAAATGCAAAAATGACTACATTCCAAGTTATTTTAGCGACTGCAGAAGAAAGAAGTGGGCCCTTTGTTCCAAGCCTGACAATTTTTTTCCTGGTTCCCTGAAATTTGATGTAAGTTGATCTCAGTGTAATGAAAAAATGTTTTATTTGTTGTGGGAAACAAGGCGTATGGTCACTTGACTCCTCCTGGCAACATTCCTGATATGAGGGGGTCACGGTCTATGTATCTAGGCACGGGCAGTGCTCTCTTAGTAGTCAAACCAGACAGCCACAACCACGTGAATCAGGAATCTATTTTAGGTATGGGATATTTCCAGCTGTTCCATTTGTTGAACTAATGATTATTCTCATATAAACAATGAAATTACCATAAGGGAAGAATTATATTGCTGTATTTAGCTAAAGCACATGTCCATAGTTTTAAAAGTTTCCTCCTCCATAAAGCCTCCCCTGATCTCTCATCTCAGCTGGAGGTGATTTATATATGTCAGGGAGTTTAAAATTTAGTAGGAGAAGAGATAAATCCACAAATAAATATAATACAAATCAGCGTATTGTAAATGTAGGAGGAAAAATGGAGTACTACAAGATCAGAAGTGGGGAGGATTTACTTCCAGGTGCGAGAGCATCAAGAGAGGAGGTCATAGATGAGCTTGATCTTGAAGGGAGAATGATAGAGGTGACTAATGGAATAGTCAGTAGATAGAACACTAGGTTTCAAGGCAATAAGAACAGTTTGAACACTACATCAGATGCTTGCTAGCTGTGTAGCCCTGCGTGAGTCAATCAGCCTATCCCAACTTCAGCAAATATAAAATGGGATAATAGCATTTATATCATAAAGTTGTTGTGAAGATCAACAGAGCTAACATATGAAAAGAGCCTTGCAAATCTTAAATTGCTATATAAATATTAGTTATTATAGCATGTTAGCAGGGAGGGATGGGGGGACAGTATTCTTAGTTTAGGGAATAGTCACATAAGGAAGAACATGGAGGTAGGAAGGTATAGGATGCATGTGAGGAAGAGTGAGAAATAGTTCACTGTTGCTGAAGTAGAGAATAAGTAAAAGGTAAAGATAGAAAGGTAGATTGAAACCGTACTGTGTTTGCCTCTTAATATTAGGCTAAGTTAGTTTTCATTTGGTAGGTGAATGGAGGAGAGTAAGGAGGGAAGGGGGACAAGGTTTTATTAATCATTTAATCTATATCAGACACTGTACTAAGTACTTTACAAATATTACCTCATCTGATAATAAACAATAATATCTTATTTAATAAAACCATGAAAGGTTTTGAGTAGTGGAATGACATGTTAATACCCATCCTTCAGGAAGACTAATCTGGCATTTGTTTGGAAATTGAATTTAAAAAGAACTAGGGCAGAGAAAAAAAACCAAGGAATTGGGTAGATGATAATATGTTAGGAAAAACATCATTAAATGAAATAAAAGAAACAAAATGGAATGAAGGGAAAAAACAGAAAGAGCAAATAATGTTGTGCTTTTGAATTTGCCTTTACAAGTCATGAATATAATGCTGAATTAGAAAGGAACTCCCATGTAATTGAATTTAAGCTGAATATTTAAAAGTGATGAAAGATAAACTCATTTTATTTTAAATGAGTGATTTAACCTAGATAATTGTGAGGATCAGTCTCTCTTAGAGGTTGTGTGGTGAAGTATGATGTTGGGCAAGTCAATGCTTTGAACTTTAACTTACAGTATTGTACTTTGTAAACATTGAAGGGTTATGTCAGTGTGAACTATGTTAATTAAATGTCTGCTATTACTTCACTCTAAAATGCCAATATTCTCTGATTTGAAGCCTAAGATTGGGAGGCAGAATCTGGGTTTGAATCTTAGCTCTGCTGCTTATGACCTGTGTGACCTTTACAAGTCACTTCACTGCTTTGGGTCTTAGTTTTCTTATATATAAGTGAGGGGATTGGACTAGATCAGTAATTCCCATTTAGTGGTTCATGGTTTTAGTACTGGTTATACTTCATACTTTTCTTTCATTTTTATGTGAAAATTATACTTCTCAATACTGTAAATGTCTCTTATGAAACCTCCAAAATAGTAAGGATCATAGACCAGGTGGGCCGCTTCCTCTCCCTTCTTAATAGTGACATTTACATAGTTATTTAGGTTTTGCAAAGTGCTTTAAAAAAATCCATTATTTTATTTGATTCTCACAACAGCCTTGCAAGGTAAGTGTTCTAATTGTCCTCATTTTATGGATAAACTGAGACTTAGAGATATTAAATACATACTCAGGGTCATGCAGTTATGACCTGTGCGTCTGAAACAGTATTTCTAACTCCAAGTCTACTACCCTGTCCCATTACACCAAGCTTCCTGTCTTTGTCCACTCCAGGCTGGCCCTTGATACATGGTTTCCATTTAGTGGTTCACAAACTACTCTTCACGCTCCCCTCCCCATGGTTGAAGAAGTTTGCATTAGTTCTTTAATGGCACCTTATAATTAAATGATTGTAAATGATTTCTGAATTATGCTACAAATATATTAATCCTCTGTGATGACAAAGATATAATTTTTGAAACATAGTTTTTTTTTCTGTAGCTATTCAAATCTGTCACGATTGTATACGCAACAATTTTTGGGTCTGTGCATGAGTTATATTAAACCCAGACCACTTCTTACTTGGTGCAATCTGTTTTTGTAGTTTCTAAATTTGTTATCAAATTGTTTCCAAACCACCATAAGGGTTCAACATCTGGGCACAAACTGATTGCCAGTGGATGGTCAGATGCATGCATATACTTTCATTTGTATTCGTACATTGTACTAGAGTAGTTCCTTTTTTTTTAACTCTGTAATCACAAGCCATCATTTGTGCAGTCACATGATCAACATGTTAAAAAAAGTTCTCAAATGTGAAACTGCTTGAAAATTATGATTTTTGGGCAAGCCATTTTTAAACCATCGTAGAACATCAAAAATGTTTTGTAGAAACAAATCTTAAAATACCTCTCATCAAAGTATTAGTGTTGTTTTCTTATTTTAATTTATGCTCTACTTTTGTTGCTATTTTTCTGGTGATCTTTCAGATGATCTGATTGGCAACACTGGTTGGTCATTCAGTAGAGCTGATATGAGTATAACTGATGTGCCAGTAGTAGAAGAGAAAAAAAGCCATGTCTGAAAAGATTCTTTCCTTCCAAAGCTTACTTTATATGTTAACATTATTAAAGAATAAGCCACATATGCAATTGAATTTTAACTACATTTATCATTTAATGCAGTTGTCATCAGTCAGTAGAAAACTGATTTCCATCTCTCAACAGGAGAGCTTATAAAATTCTTCCACTACTTCCCAACACATATTTGTGTGAGCAAGAATTTTCACTTTGTTCTTGCAAATTAAAACAACAACAACAACAACAACAACAACAACAACACCAACAAAGAGAAATAAACTCAATATGGAACCAGATTTAAGACTGTATTTGTTTGGTATTGAGACAAATTTTGCAAACCTTCGTTCAAATAAAAATGTCCAGTGTTTATATTAAGTTTGTATTGATTAATATATCATGTTAAACATATTCTAAATTGTAACTTGTTTCGCTAAAATGTTATTTGTATTCAAATTTGTAAAGTAAAGAAATTTAATATGAAGTCTTGTAGATAATAATAAGCATATGAAATCTTGTTGAATTACTTCTTTTGTTTCCTATAAAATGTTAGCAATAACTTTATCATTAGTTTTATAATTTTATATTTAGAGTTTTCATAATTATAGGAAGAATAAAACTTTATGTTTTATAATGATGTAATGTAATTTTTCATTTGGAGTTTTTTTGGTGCAGTTATCACTGTAGCTTTTGTAAATTTTCAATGAATATATCAAATGATATTGTGAGTAGTTTATCAAATTATCTGGGAGTTCAAACTATGTTATTATTGTTATTTAAATGGGTTTACAGAATAAAAAGCATTGGGAAGCATATATACTAGATAACTTCTAAGGTCTCTCTCAGTGATCAGTCTATGATCTTATGATTGTCTAGGCTTCCATTTTATACATATGTGTACACACAAATATTTGTATGTGTTTATATATATATATATATATATATGTATGTATGAGTGTGTATGAATACAGCTACATATACTTGTATATATGTGTTTATATATGTGTATATGTGCATGTGAATACAACTATATATTTGCTACTTGGAAAATAAATTAGTAAAAACACCCTTTTCGCTTATGCTTTATACTATTTATTTACCAGCAGAGCAGTACCATTTTCTTAAATCAGACATAATACAAAAATAAATATATTTGACAATTTGGTCTTATAAGAAACAAACCCATTGAAAATACGATGTTTCTAACAAGACACAAATTGAATTACTAAGGAAATATTTCATTTTTCAAATGTCAGAAGGAATTAGTTATCAAATGGTATATATAAAATGTTTAAAAATTTTTATTGATTTATATTATATTTATATCACTTTAATTTCTAAATAGTTATCCCAATCTACTGCCCTCCAGGAGCCATCCCATACAATAAAGAATGAAAAGAGCAAGAATTAAAGAACAAAAGACAAAAAGAAAGAAAGAGAAAAAGCGAGAGGGAAGGATGGAGGGAAGCAGGAAGACAGAGAGGATGGAGGAAAGGAAGGAGGGAAGGAAAAAAGGAAAGAAAGAATGAAAAAAAGAAAGGAGGGAAAAAAATTCAGTTCAGCAAAACTTGCCAAAACATCGACTGAATCCGAAGTAAATGCAAAGTACCATAGCTAAATTCCCCAACCTCTGAAAAGAAAGGAAAATCCAGATGACCATTATAATTAAACACTATTGAACTTCATTTTCCCTTTTCCATTTACTTTATTGCAGTCATTGCGCATATTGTTATCTTTACTGACTTCACTTTGCATAATGTGTCCTTTTGTGTTTCTCTCTAGTCTTTGTATTCATAGTTTCTTATGACATAGTAAAATATTACTATTTACATTTTACTTTGATGTACCAAAGTTTTTTAGACATTCCACAATAAATGGGAATCTAAGTTTATCTTATTACTGCCACAAAAGTGTCACCAAGAATATTTTGGTATATATAGTACCTTCTGTTCTATCTTTGAACCTCTCTGCCTAGGAGTGATATCTGTGGAGCAAAGGGTATAGATCTTTTAGTTGCTTTCTTAGCATAATTCCAAATTGCTTTCCAGAACAGTTGATCCAATTCACAACACAATTACGAGTGTGTTAGTATGCCTATCTTTCCATAGGCCCTCCCACATAGACTATCACCGTCTTTTGATAACTTCGACAATTTGTAGAGTGTGAGATGAAATCTCAGAGTTATTTTGATTTGTTTTCTCTTATTGTTAGTGATCTGGAGGAATCTCTTCCATGGTTGTTTATAATTTGCAGTGCTTCTTTTGAGAATATATAAGTTGTTATTTTGAAAATATGCAGAATAAATTTTCCCTTCTAGACACAGAAAATTTCTGAACAAATCTGTCTTTTTTTGGCTGATATGATTGATGGAATCTATCAAATAATCCAATTAGATTCTAAGCATAGACACATTCTTAATTTGAATACACTTATGCATATTTCTATTTCAGAACTTGAATCCAAGAACTTAAAAGCAGGTAAATTAAAGATATTTCCTTCTTTTTTTTATGTTTCATACTGATTTTCTATTTCTTTACCTACTACAAGACTGTTATAACAGCCTGGAAAATAGTATGCACTTAATAAATACTTGTTGACTGGCTTCTATATTGTAATTTTCTTTTTCACCTTTGATTTAATTTTGGAATGGGTCAGTGTAGGAAAAATCTAAATGTACTCAAAGAGAGGAAAGGGCATTTATGAATTGTCTGACTTGGGAAAAAAGAAAAAAAACTTCCTGTTTTTATGTGGTCATTGCTGACAGTGGGAAATCTCTTCAAGGTGTTTCAAACATCTGGATGAAAATGGAAAAAAATCCCATCAAATATCCATATGTTTTTTAATACCCAAATATATGATATGGTAGACATAATGTTTGTCATGATCAACAGATTTTCCACAGCAAGTCTAGGAAAACAACAGTACTTACAAAGAAGACAGACATTCAGACCTGGTGTTATTTGAAGTCATGTGTTTAATTTTTAAAGGACTTTGATGATTTTAGATTGATAATGGGGATGACAAGTAGGATTTCTTTCTGTGACTCTCTTACACAAAAGTTTCAGCAAACTGATTTAAGGAAGAGGTGTGACTAAAGGAGAAGTGAAACAGGTTGTTTGTTTTTAAACAAACATGTTTTTATTAAACTAACATCTTTATACATGTCTGACATTTGGGTTTATTGATATGTTCTGTTTTTTCTAAGATGAATCCCGTGACAAATGACAGAACAGAGATTGTATGTCACTATCTCTGTTCTATCTATATACTGCCACTGGGCAAAGATTTCTCATTTCATACACCATTCCCACAATAATTTCACAGAACTCATATCCTCAGAACCAGGCACAGCAATTATCTATATACATACATGCATGCATAGGCATACTGCATATGAGGACTACAATCCTACACAGAATCCCAGAGTTCACAACTCTATCCAAGGAAAGTAAGTAATAACAATTAAGTACCATCCAGTTAAATAATAACTTTTCTTTTTTAGTTGATTCAAAACTGCAAGTTTGTTAGGGTTGCTTCAGAAGGTCTGCTTTTGGAGAAATGTTTGTTTGTAAGAGATGAATATGATTCTTCTTTCCTACTCATTTTGAACTTTTCCAATAGTACTGTATCAATTCCCTTTGTTTCCTGGCAGAGTAGATAAATGGCGTTGGCAGATAGATCTGTGTTCAAGTCTCACTTTTGGCACATTGTGCAACTGGATAAGTCACTTAATATCTCATTGCTCTTAACAAGCTTCTAAGACTATAAGTTACAGAGCAGGTGCTGATTTGTAGAGAACTCAAATATTTATTATGATGTATGATAAAGTTAAACTTCATATTTTATTTTAAACTTTAATGAAGACAACAGTAAAAACTGAAAAATTAAAATCTTTTGATCTTTAACCTATGTTGCTGTAATAGTACCAATTGGCAGAGTAAAAAATCACACTGAAAACTGATAAAAAAAATTTCTGATTATTTCCTGTGTATTCTGGAATATGTTAAGATACATATTTAACTATACTAAATGCTGCAGAATATGTTTTCCCGATTGCTTTTATTAAAAAAAATCTGTTTTGGAATTTTCTGTGGCTTATTGCTTTGATTTACCAGTTATTTATGCAACTGGACAGATAACAAACTATCATTTCTAGTATTTATCAATTATTGATATGAATGGACTGATAGTAAAGTGTTACTTCCATAATTATTTGTTTCTATTGAGAGTACAGAATGATATAATCTCAGAGTTGAGATGAACCTCAAAGGTTGTGTAGCACAATTGACCCCTAAACAAGAATCCCCACTAGAATACTGATGAAGAATAGGCATTCCACCTTTGCAGATCTTCAATGAAGTGGATCCTACTCTATTCTGAGGAAGCTCATTCCAGTTTGGAGGAGCTCTGATTGTTAAAAAGCCTACATTTACCTCTCTGCAACCTCGACTCACTGTTCCTAATTCTGTTTGCTGCTACCTATCAGAAAACAACAACAACCACAACAAAACTACCCTCAACCAGTTACTCTTTTAGGTGGCTAGATGGTACAGTGGATGAAGGACTGGACCTGGAGTCATGAAGACTTAAGTTTAAATTTGACCTCAGACACTTACTACGTGTGTGACCCTGGGTTAGTCATATAACCTCTGACTGTCTCAGTTCCTTAATTATGAGGATAATAACAGCATCTACCTCCCAGGGTTGTAAGGATTAAGTGAGATAACATTTTTAAAGTGCTTAGTGCAGTGCCTGGCACATAGAAGGCATTTAAATGTTTATCCCTGTCTTTTCTTCCTTCTTTCTTTCAGGACCAGGGTAAGGATGATAATATTGCATTCTCTGTGGTTTTTTTCAATAAAAAAGATAAGAAATTATAGGCTGTGTGGTATAGAAACATCACAGGAGGATTGGTTTCTAGGTTGTATCACAGATTTTGTCACTAGTTTTATAACCTCTTTATATCTCTGTATGCTCATTTATAAGAAGACAGGGATAAGACTAGAGGATTTCCAAAAATTCTAAAAATTTTCTCTCTTTTGCTTATATGGATCTGATCTGTGTTATTAGTTCTGTTGAAAATGACACATGCCTAGAAATTAACTCAGCTGATAAGTTGTTCTTTGGTTTAAAATAAATGCAATATTTTATGCAAAGGTACTCTTTTCTTCATGTTCCATAGAATGTCTACAGTACTTGATTTGGTCTAGCTGTCTTGTGCTATGTTAGTTGCAACATATGACAAATTGAAGCTGAAGGAGTGGTTCCATTATATCTTGATATTGTGGATATTCTCATCCTTTAAAATAGTGCTGGCATTTTCTCAAAGTACTCAGATCTACACATCTGTTTTCGATAGCTAGCTGGTTTTTGAAGACTTTTAAACTAGGCATTATAAACTGTCTGGATGACG